AACATTGACAGAGAACTACCAGAAATACAAGCTGGGCTTATAAGAGATCTTGGCACTAAAGATATTATCACCAATGTCAGATGAATCTTAGAAGAAAGAAAAAAAAAAAAAAAAGAAGAAAGAAAAGACCAGAGGAATATCTATTTGTGTTTCATTGACTATGCAGACATTTGACTGTGTGAATCACTACAATTTGTGTTAACCTTGAGGAGAATGAGAATTTTAGAACACTTGATTGTACTTATGTGAAACCTATACATGGATCAGGAAGCAGTCTTAAGAACAGAGCAAGGAAATAAGGCATGGTTCAGATCAGGAAAGGAGTTTGTCAGAAATGCATCCAATTTCCATACCATTTTAATCTGTGCACAGAACATACCATTCAGGAGGCTTCTTGAGGAGGAATGTGGCATCAGGATTGGAGGAAGACTAATCAACAACCTATGTTATGATGACACAACCGTGCATGCTGAAACTGATGAAGATCTGAAGCACTTGCTGCAAAAGGTCAAGGACTGTAGTCTTTAAATTGAAGCTAAACATCATGAAGACAAAAGATTCTCACCACTGGGCCAGTTGGCAGCACCATGATAGATTGAGAAGAGACTGAGGTTGTTAACAATTTCAGCTTACTTGGCTCCACAATCAACACTCTTGGCACCAGCAGTCAGAAAATCAAAAGATGAATTGCATTGCATTGGGAAAATTTGCTGTTAGGGACCTCTTCAGAGTACTGATAAACAACGTCAGTCTAGAGACTAAGATGCGCCTGATCCATTCCTTGGTCTTCACCATTACTTACTATGCATCAGAGAGCTAGACATTGACTAAGGATAAGAGAAGATTAATCAATGCCTTTGAGTTGTGGTTCTGGAGAAGAATCTTGAATATACCGTGGACCACCAGGTAAACAAGTTTCGCTTTTAGAGGGTAAAACAAAGTTTCTCCTTGGAGGCTAGGAGTTTGAAGCTCAGTCTCACATACTCTGGACACATGGCCAGGAGGGACTGATCCTTGGAGAAGGCCATCATGCTTGGAAAGGAGGAAAGACAGCACAGGAGAGGAAGACCCCAGATAAGATGGATTGATACATTACATTCTTTGATATTTAGGGTTTTTCCTTATTTCTTAGAGATGTCTCTTGTAGGCAACATATTGAGGGGCTCTAGGGATTTTTAATTTTTTAATCCATTTTGCTATTGTCTTTCTCTTAACTGGTTCATTTAAGCCATTCATATTAAATATGACTGCTGACAGGCCAGGTTATATTGCTGCCATTTGCTGTGTTTCTGGTTACTATGGTCCATCCAATTTCCTTTGGTGGCTCTGTGTGAAGGACTTCCCTTAGAATTTCTTTTGGAGTTGGTTGTGTTTTCACAAGTTCCTTAAATTCCTGCTTTTTTGCAAATGATTTAATTTCTCTTTCATATTTTATAGACAGAACAGCTTTGCTGAGTTTGAGTTCTTTGGCTGGCAATTGTTTTCTTTCAGCCTTTTGTATATGCCATCTCCTTGTCTTCTTGGTTGTATGGTTTCTACTGAGAAATCAGAACTTGATGTAATTGTTTCTCCTTTGTAGGTGACTGTTTTTTCACACTTCTTTTAGTATTCTGTCTTTGATTTTGGAAAATTTGACCATGATATGCCTTGATGTTTTTCTTTTAGGGTCTAATATGTTTGGGGTCACTGAGTTCTTGAATGTGGATTTTCTCATTCTTCATGATACCTGAGAAGTTTTCTTCTATCACCTCTTCCACAATTTTCTCAGTGCTTTCCATGTTCCCCCTCTTGTTCTGGAATTCCAATCATTTATGTTGTTCCTTCTGATGTTATCTTACATGATTATAATGTTTTCTTTATTTTTTTCTGTCTAA